GTACGGCGCGCTACACCGAAACAGTGCACGGTGCACGCAACCGATCGCAACGGTCGCATCAACGCCTTATTGTAACCTGCGTTCTTGGCTGGTGCTTTCGACGAAAAAACTTGGTTCAAAACAGAGTATTTATATAGTATTTATAATTTATTAACATGCACACTTTTAATTATTGAGATCAAATGATATTATACAATATAATAATATTATACAACATGATATAAGCGTATAATTAGAATTGATTTTAATAATGATATTGCGTGTGGTATTTTTCAAAACATGGTGTTGCGCATAGGCCAACATTACAAATCTTACATTCATATCGCGATTCCCTCCTCTTATCATTTTTAGTGCAAACTACACACTTTCGCAACGGGTTCTTACGTTTTGTTGAGTCATTTGTGTACAGCGACATGAAGTGCCTTCCAGTCAAGCGAAGCGGATTCGTTTGTCCTGATTTCTTTTCGATATTTTTCTTATAATTTGATAAATAATGATGTAAAAGTTGCCGAATTAACTCCAGATGAAATTTTGCCATAGAGATTTGTTTGCTGGTTTTTAATTTGTACAGGCAAAAAGCGTTCCAAACGCACATGTCGATTAAATGGAAGAAATATTTTTTATACCACTTCATGGATTTGCGTTGGGAGTGTATGGTGCTAATAACCATATCTGTTTTATCTACACTTCCCATCAAACGATTGTAGTCGACAACACACTTTGGTTTCTTTATCATTTCTTGCGTTCGGTAATGAAGTTTTGTATTAACAAATTCATGATTGTGGCAAGAAGATAGCATATATACTTCCCTCTTGTCACACCATTTCATTGCTAGTAAATGCTTAGAAGAACGGAAACTCGCTTCACCAGTATTTAATTTATCCTGGAAAATCGGCATGCCTTTTCGTCTTTTTCGGACAGTTCCACATGCGTTAGTTGCGTTTTTATGTAAAAGAGTGAAAAGTGCCGGGCTAGTATACCAATTATCCACGTATAATGTGTGGCCTTTACCTAAGTAAGGTTTTAATAATTCCATGACTATATTGCCTGATTTTCCGATAAATTCATTTTCAAAGTTTACTATAGTCAGTGATCCATTATAAATAATAAAATCTTGCACAAACCCAGAATGGGTATCACATAAAATGAAGGATTTAATTCCAAATCTATTTCTCTTGGAAGGAATGTATTGCTTAAACGATAATCTGCCTTTGTAAAGAAGTAGACTTTCATCAATACAAAGGTTTTCGAATGGATAAAACGCCTGCTGAAAACTTTGTCGGAGCTTATCGCATATTTCCCGTATTTTATACAATTTATCAGTATCCGCAGTTACATTATTCGTGTTAAAATGTAAGATTTTTAACAAATATAGAAATCTATCCCTACTCATAACTTCGCCAAAAATGTTGCTCTTCANCAATGTGTCGTTAGACCAGTACTCAGAATATGTCAGTTTTTTATTTCGCGACATTAATAATTTGACGGCGAGAAAGCAATACATCTCAGGGACAGAAGTGCTTTGATAATTTACGTTAGTAGTATTCTCATCAAGGTTATTCCGATAATCGTGTGTTGTGCTGACAATGAAATTTATAAAGTTTTCAGAACAAAATAATTGAAAAAACTCTAAAATCGATGCTGAATAACTAATCGATGCTTTTATTCCCGAATGTTTGGAACTAAACTTATGAATAGTTGGCCGGAATAATTCTTTCGTCCATGTAATTTCTGTGAGATTTCTACCAGATTCTGTTGAAGTATCTTCTTCGTGTTCAGACGTGCTGGATATGATTTGCCGAAATCTTTTACAATTTTGGGTGCATCTTTCCCGTATCAAATTTAAATTTATTTGCTCATCTTCTGACAGATCCAAAAAATTCTGATTTGTGTCAATTCGTCTTTTTCTGTTATTCGACATCTTTTTGAGGGGCGGATAAAATCTGTTTATAAATAATTAATCTCAACAGAGCTACCCAAATTTGACAAACAATAAAACATACCTTTTTATTCCCGAATGTTTGGAACTAAACTGTTCTTGGAAGAAAACTTAAATTTACTATATTCCTGCAGTAAGCATTAACGTAATTCGCACAGACCGTTCGAGCCGGTATCGTAAGACTGATGATCGAGGCATTTGGTTTATTATTGAAGCCCGTAAAAAACAAATGATGCAAAACAAAAGACTCACGCGGCATGTCCAGAGTGAGATACTCTGTGCATA